GCATGTGTCTTGAATAGTTTAATGAATGACCAAATAAAATATAAAGTAAAGGTTGTGCACGACATGTGATTGGATGACAAAGTGGTGGGTGAAATAAAGAATGAAGAGAGAAAAGATAAGATAGTGAGGGTGGCGGATAGAAAGAGTGAATGGAGGTGGATGTTGGACCAATGAATAAAGGAGAAAATTGGTGCATGAAAGCTAAGTGGGTGACAAATTGGTCCAATGAGAGATAAAGAATGAAAGAAAAAAATATAAGTGAGGAAAGGCTTGTGAAACCCTATGCCTATAAGAGGAAAAAGAGAGAAAGGATCAGCCTTGAGAGCTCCACCCGAGAGGAAAGCAACGAGAAAGAAGGAAAGAAAAGAAGAGGATCAACTTTGGAGAAGTTGGGGAAAACTGAGAAGTTTTCTTCCATCCGCCATTGTTAAAGCCTAAAGGAAAGTGGTGGTTCGGCTTAGTGATTTAAGGGTAAGGAAGGTAAAAGCTGTTATTTGGCTTGAATGCATGCCTTGTGAATCGGTTGTGATGTGAGATTATGCTTATGGTAGCAAGGATCTTTAAGGATTCAAAGAACCGGGTGCATGCATGGGGGTTAACCTTAGAAGTATGGTGGTTTAAAGCAAGACAAATGATGGGTAAGTGTTTCTAACCTTGAGTTCATAAGTGGAAAGGAAAAAAATGAAATGCGTATCAATTATTTGTTCTTGTGGCAACAATGGTGACTGAGGATGTGAGGACTTATAGAGTTGCATGTGGAATTCAAGGTAAAATCAAAAGGTAATCATGTAATGCGGGTGTGCTATGTTATATTGAATTTGGTTAGTTGAAAGGTTATGGATTGCATGTTAGATTATTGTGAACAATAAGGATGAATAATGTGAATTTAGATTAAAGATTCATTGATTAAGGTCCTGCCCATATATGTGTACAATTGAATATAAACACAAAAGTAGAAATAATGAGAGAGGTCGGCTATAGTGAGAGATGTGTTATGGTTTGATAAATTGATAATTGTGGAGGCTAGCTTAGGACTTGGCGAACTTGCTCATGAGACTCAAGCTCCAGTAGCGATCGGGAAAAGGGGTCGTTATAATAGTTGATTGGTTTATGATTGTTTATTTTAGGTTCAACTCTAAACTACGTTCTCTTTGTATTTGTGTTACTTGTTATGTGTAATTGAATTAGTGTATGAAAGAATTTGTCATTATCCATGTTATATTTATTTGAATTGTTATTTGTACTATTTGATTTGTTTTAAATAATCTTTGTTGTTTTAATTTATATATTTGGATTTCTACTTATGTATTTTGATATTGTCAATCAGATGTCTTCTAATGAAGTCAAATCATTAGTACAAGTTGAAAAAAGAAGAAAATGTGCAAGGTTTTATCTAAACATGAATGAAGGAGCTGCTATTGCAATAGTATATCACATAAAACACTTAATGAAATAAGGAAACTGATTCAATTATTCTGATGGATGAAATTGGGTACGTGAAATTTTACAAACTCCGGGTGAAAGTTATAGAATGTTTAGGATGGAATCATATGCTATATTGCAACTTACAAATACTTTGAAAAATAAGGGATGGTTGCATCCATCTAAAGACATGACGGCATTGGAGGTAGTCGCTATGTTTCATTGGGCTTGTGCACACAACGAAACAAATTGTAATGTCCAAAATAAATTTGGAAAATTGGAAGAGGCTGTAAGTAGAAAGTTTAGTGAAGTGTTAGATAGTTTATATTTACTAGCCAATGAAAATTGTCAACGCTCTAGATTTTCAATTTACAAAAGTTCCATCTAAAATTAAAAATGATCGTCGATATTGGCTTTCTTTTCAAGGGTGCATTGGTGCTATAAATGAATCACATGTTCCTGCTATTCCTCTTGCAAATGATCAAATTCGTTTTATTGGTCGAAAAGGATATCACATACAATGTCATGCTAGTGTGTAATTTTGACATGCTATTCACTTTTATGGTTGTTGGTTATCCTGGCACTACACATGACACTTGCATATTTTCAACTGTGCTTGAAGAAATGAAAAGCGTGTTCCCTCACCCTCTGGAAGGTATAACTTATAATTTTTATGATACAAAGTTTGTCATTCTATATATTTATCTCTTGAATTTTTATAATGAACTAATATTGAAACCTTTAACTTTTTTCTTAGGTAATATTATGTAGTGGATGCTAGTTATCCTAATATAAAAAGGTATCTAACACCTTATAAAGATGAAAGATATCACATTCTTGATTTTAGAGGTTGCAATAAGCCAAAAGGCGTAGAAGAAACATTCAACCATGCACATTCTTTGTTAAGAAATGTCATTGAATGAATAATTGGAGTTTGGAAGAATATGTGTCATATTTTACGTGATATGAAGCCATTTCTGTTGTTAAAACAAGAAAAGATTATTGTTGCAACAACAACAATTCATAACTACATTAGAGAGTGTGGTGTTATAGACGAAAAGTTTGACAGATGTGATTGCAATCCCAATTATATCTTTAACAGTCAAGAAGAAAGAAGTAATGATGAAAAAATGAGTTCATATACTTATAAAAGAGCATTAGATGACAATTACATGGGTAGAGTTAGCAACCAAATAGTTGCTACATTGATAGAAAATAGAAATTGTTAATTTATGAACTATTTATGAATTATGTGTTACTTATAAATTATTTGTGAAACTTTTTTTATGATTTATGATTAATTATAAACTTTATGTTATATAAAAACACTTTTTATATTTTTAAAAATATATTTTAAATAGATAAAAAAATAAAGTTAATTTTTTTTTATTTTGAATAAATAAATTCGTAATTAATAAAAAGTTATTTATTAAATATCATAAAGTGGTTATCTTAATTTTTAGATGTGAACTGGGCTTGTCCCCTTTTAAAGCCTAATACTGCAAATAGGCCACAGGCTAAGATTGGACTAAAACAGGCCTCGGTCAACACAGGTCAACGAAAGACATGATGCCATTGGTGGGTACGAAAGACCGCCACTTACTAACTATAATCCAACGAGGCGAGCTATGGAGCAAGGTAGCGTTTGCTTACTTATGACGGTTTAAACGAACGATGTCGTTTAATACTCTCAGTATACAATCTGAAAATAAAACCTAAATCGTTTGAGTCCCTCCTTTGGCCGTTTCACCTCCCGCCGAAGACCCGTAAACACTCTTCTTCTTCATTCAGTTCCCCCTTTTCTTCCCTTGGAAGCCTCCATATTTCCCCAAAACCAACCTCTCTCTCAAACCACAGAAAGCAAAGTATTCTGATTGGTGAAAGCATTTTTCCTCTCTTTTTGTGTAAATGGTCTTATATATTGAGATTCTCTTTTTCCTTTTTTTTTTTTTTAAGAAAAAATGAATTTCAAAATGAGTGGATTAGGATCGGTTCTGTTCATTCAAAGTTTTCTTCTTTCTTTTTTCTCTTCTTGTCTATTTCCATTTCTTGCATTCAATTGGATTGCTTCCTTTCTCTTTAAGAGTTTTTAATACACGTCAAATCAATCTGATTCGTAAAGAAAGATGTTAATTTTTGGTGATGCGTAATTGCAGCCGTTGGAATTTCTGTCGAACAGAAGATTTTTCTTTTCTCTCATTGATCAACAAGAAATTACTCAAAGATTTGGTTTACAAAGGCATCCAGGGGAACCTGACCCGTACAGTTACAATTTGGGCGCCTTGGGCGAGGGCGAAAACAGAAGACCTGAGATTTGAGGTCTGAGATTGAGTTTCCTTCCAAAATCTCTGACTCACTGTTTGCAGAGAGGGAGATGGGCCGCCGGAGGGGAAATCACTCCGAGCTTCATTCGAGGCTTGGACATGATATTCTCATCTCTCCACACACAAGGTTAACTGCAAGGCAAGGAAATAAGGAAGAGATGGAGTAAAGGATCGAGGTGGGTAGCCGGCGGACGTGGCGTACTTCTTTGGATCTTGGTGAGTTTCCCACCGCCGGCCTAGCTTACTCATTGTTTGATTCTTTCAAAGTGCTATCCCTTGTCATTAATTATACATGCATTTCCTAACAATTTGACTCTGGGCGGCATGAATACGCACTCACGCGTCAATTGTTTAATGGTACTGACCAGAAGAAGAAAAAAGGACACAAATTACCAGGAAATTGCATGATTGCTGGCATGAATCAACATTGTTTCAATACTGCGTCGTGATTTGTTAACCTCATATTATTAAAAGTCGAACCAAATTCGTCGTCATTGTTCCTTGTTAGTCAAGTACTCTCCACCGCCCATGTGCAAAGTTAATTATGAATTGTGGGAATTCACTAATTTGATTGAAAAGAACTGAAAAAGAGATACTAGCAATGAGAGTCAATAGCTTGAAGACAAAGTAGCTCGGCCAACGGATCGCTCGCAATTGGTCGACCACGTCCGAACAATTTGCGGTATCGCGCGATCAGTAGAACATGATTGCCCTCTTACCTGACTTGTGCAAGTGGACCCCTTAAATAATTAAAGTTGGTGGATTTCTTGGTGGCATAATTATTTCTTTTTTGGTGCAACGGTTAGAAAAGTTAAGATTCAAGTCATAATTTATAAATAACTTATATGAAGTCATTGTTTTTAATTTTATTGGTAAATTTTTCAAATTTGATTGTTCTTTAAGTTTGAGTGTACTGATTTTTAAATGTTTATTTATTTAAATTTAACTCGATAAAATACATATTAAAAAAAAAAAGGTATTGTGATCCCTAAGTTTTAGTGGGCATTCCACTTACCCTTCCTTCTTAAAAAAGTACGGGTGTTGGTTACTAAGTGAACTTTAAAACCAAAAGACAAAATAACTTCTTTGATATTTCATTTTAGGGAAAAAATTGTGCGATTTAATTACTTATAAATCATCATTATAAGGTTCAATTAGTTCTTAAATCATCATTAATTACTCTCAAATTAAATTAAATCGAGTTGGATTTTGATTCGATTGCTTTTTAGAATATATCAAGTTATATCTAATTCAATTTAGGGGAAATAGTCGTCATCAATGAGGATTCATTGAAAATAAACCTACCACCATCAGTTTGAAAAACGCGCTTTAACTCTCATGAAAAAGGTAATTGATGTTATGATTCCATTAGTTAAGTTAATAGTTGTTAAAAGTTTAGCTTAAACACTAAAAATACCCTCATCTGGTTTAATTATTTTCTTTATTCTCCTTATCCCATTTCTTTCTCTTTTTGTTTTAATCGATTTCTTTATAACTAAACCCTTTCTTTAAATAAATGGTAAGTAATTAATTTTAACTGAAAGTTAGTATATAATTATATTAAAGATAAGTTTGAATTGTTTAGTATGTAATTGAATTAGAATATAAGTTAATTAAAATTTAATTTTATAGTAATTAAAGATGATTTTAAAGCTCACAACTAACCAAATCTCATAATTTTATAGTTATGAAAACTCTTGGGTAAAAGAAAAATGTAAAATAAATGGAAAAAATAACAAATTAAGGGTGTGTTCGTCGTTTCTTTTAAAATTACTCTTAGTAATCTTGAATTGAAGTGCTAAGTAAGCATTACGTCTAGTCAACAACCGAGAGTCTATATATTGGTATGCATTGGCAGGGAGGAATGCCACATTACCAAAACCTTCAATCGTTGATCAAACCGAAGAGTTTCAGAAAGAATGGGGAAGAAAGGAAAAGGAAACATGCTTGCTTTCCCTGTAAGCAGGAGGAGCTGCAGGCTCGCCGATGCAACAAGGAAGCATTCCAGAAGCTCAAACAGAACTCATCAGGTATGTTCATTTGGCGCCATTATATCATCTTCAGTATTATTCTTATTCGTGATAAATATATATCATCATGATCAAGATCGGGCTCAGAAAATTTTTTAGGTAAGTGTCATAACTATATTTACTCTAACATGAAATATTTCCATGAAGCACTGTCAAGGCAAGTAGTCAATTTCACCGCATTCTTTGGAATCACTCTCAATTGTACACATACTCTTTTTAGAAGAAGTAAGTTTACTACCATTACGATATCTCGTTGGGCACCCTTATTTCTTAGTTCTTGCTATTTGATTGCATGGAAACCAATATCCAACTTGCGAGATGTGGTCGGTTTTCACTTATAAAGGTCTTATTGTGAAGTCAACGATAGATGCATTGCCAGTATAAGTTTAAACCTCCATATATATATATATATACCATAGCCAACGCTCAATTTCCCAATGTGAAATTGAGGCCCAGACACCCCCGTTAAACTCAAGATATCATACACTTAACTGGGATCACACTTGGAATATGAGATTCTAGTGTTGGCTCCCACCGTGCACACATGATGTAGCACTTAGCTCCAACATTTTTGACTAATGATTGCTCTGATAGCAATTATGGAGACCTGCATTTTACTTATTATCACGACGTGCGAGTTCAAGAACTCAACCGTCTCGACATGGCTTAGGGAGTCACCTATTAATTTTTTTAGTTCAACTGTGATTAGTTACTTAATTGAATCTATACTTTCTAATGAGATCTTAAACTTGAATTAGATTCATTAAAAATGACAAGATTAGTATACCTAAATGAGTTAGGGTTCAAGAGTATAGTTACGTATGAAGAAGGTGTTAGTACCCCCATAGCGCCCATTCAAAGAATGCTATCATTTAATTATATGTTATCTTATTTTAGCCTTAATTAAAAAATTGTGACTTCATACTTACTTGTATCCCTAAATTACGATTCAGTACATTTTTTCTTATTCATTATCGGATATTGGAGACTTTTCCTAAGCCTTCGCAACTCTTTGGCGGGGTTTTAGAAGTTCTCCTCACCTCGAAAGTACTCAAAAAACATGCTTATTCCATTGAAGAGGCTCTGTCATTGGGTTTATTTGATGTTTTATGAGGATGACTCAATTTTAAATTTTTATAAATTTTATTTTTGTTATTTTAGTAATTATCGAGATATACATGAAACCCTCGTATTGGAAAACTTCCTTAAGCTCTTCCAATGCTCAAGTAGTATTTAAGAATATTTCCTCATTTAGGGAATTTCTTGAGAACTTGTCTCCACAATTCTCCTGAGAAAGTTTTATCATTAGAGATTTTCAATCAGGAACCAGATTAATGTTATTAACGCTTATGATGCACTCATGGAATGGATAATACAAGTTTTTTATTTTATTAAATATTGAACCGAAATCTTTGTATCAAAAAAAGTTTCCAAACTCTTCCAACGCATTGGTGAAATCTAAGAATATTTCCTCACTTAGGAAATCTCTTGAGAAACTTGCTTTTACAATTCTCTCTAAAAAACCTCATCATCGGAAACTTTTATTACTTGCAAAAAATAATAATCTGGCATGCAACACAATCAGGAATGCTGATGTTACAAAATTGGATAAAGGGAAAATATATTTACTTTTTTGGTGTCCTTTACTTTTATCAATATATTTTAATTTTATCAATATATTTTGAAAAATATATTCTCACTCTCTATTTGTTTCTATTTTTTATTATTTTTTACATATACACTTTCTTTATAATTTATAATTCTTAAAGTAAATTAATTAACTATCGCCATTATTAATTTATCTACCATTTTATCTATTAATTACACACAAGGACACATTTTTTTATGATATTCTTATTTTTTCATCATCTTTTTATAAGAGACATTTTATTATTTTTACCAATGTATTTACTTCACCATTCTAGAATTATAACTATGTTTATTTTTATACTTACTATTGTTTTTATCCCTGTTGCTTAATTAAACAAAATTTCAATTATTAATGATTATTAATGATCATTTGAATTAATTTAGTATTGGAATAAAATTTCCTCACCCTTAGGAAAATATTAAATTGAAATTGTGTCTCTACACATTTCAAGGAAAATTCCATCGTAGGGATTAATTCAAAATAATCATTCATATTTAATTAAATAATTTACATGCTAAATGTACAATATAACATTAAACAAAAATGAAATAGATTAAAAACAAGCAGGCCCTTCCTTAGGGAAGGCCAATTTGGCCGCTTTTGGAGCTGGCCTCTCTTCTTTGTGAAAATTGCGGTTCTCTCTCTTTTTATTTTCTTTTCTTTTTTTAAATTTTTTTACTATTATTTTTTATATTTATTTGTCTATCAGTGTTTTCCTTTCTACCATATCTCTCATTTTTATTTTTACTATTTGTTTATGTTTTTCTTTATTTTTTTTCCTATTATTCTTTTTGGAAATTTTCTTAAACTCTTTTTTTTCTCTAATATGGTTCTAGATCCTTGTTTAGATTCAATTGCTTTCAATTTTTGTTATCTATTTTGGGTGTCTACACCTATGAATGAAGTATAGTCCACTTTGATGTACCTATATATAATAGCATATTCGCACAAATTCTTAATATGAGATTTGAGAGCATTCCTTGCAAGACAACCGGTAATAATTAATAAAAGACATTCTTTATTTTCATAAGACATGTAGATGTTTATTAGATGAAATAAAGTTGATGAAATGTCTCTTTTCAAAAGGAATTATAAACAGTTATAATTATGAAATTCTTATTACATCAAAGTATTTTATTCGAAATTGTTATTAGTCAATGATGTGTTTTATAAAAAAAAATGGATATTGATAATTGTCATATGGTTTTGTTTCTCACTTATGAAGTGTGTAATTGATCTTATAGGATAGATCTCATAAGATGTTTGAACAACATGTGGGTCTTTGTTATAAGAACAAGTTTATTGAATATAACCTTAGAATTGCATTTGGTATATCATTAAGTGTTTGGAACAAATTTTCATGTAACAATTGTGTAAATGATCTTTAGACTTAAGATTATTAGATTACCTTTTGTGTGAAATTTTATTCTTTTTTTTATTAGATTACCTTTTGTGTGAAATTTTATTCTCTTTTTTATTAGATTACCTTTCTATGTCCACAGTCATTTGGTCATATGAAATAAATTCACTAACCTTTGTGGAGTTTGACACTATGTCTACATAATCTACAACCAAACATGAAGTGTCATAAGGTATGCAGTTGTCCAATTTTGCTTGGATTTTTTGTCCATCACCAACCTTCGAGGAAGCACTTCGGTTGATAAGACTTTGGCTTTCTTTGATGCTCTTTCATAAATAGCTTGGTTTAGATCCCATTGGGGAATCCAAAAAGCTTCCATGAGGGAAATACCTTCCTTTAAAAACCTTATAAGCAGCACTCGAGCATTTGGCTCATTGGTTGGTGTATTATCCCCTTACCTAAAGAGTAGAGTTTGAATCCCCCCTCTCCTAATTATAAAAAAAAAAACCTTATATGCAATTGTAAGAATTTTTATTTGCAATTGCCAACTCTGCTTTGTCAACATAGCTTGATTGAAGTTGTGTGCGTCCTTAAATCCCATTCCACCAGAATGTTTTGACGTGCACATATAGTGCTTTCCAATGTATCTTTGAATTAGTTCCAGACCCTCCCCATCGGAAATTTGCCATTGCAGAATCAATTTCCTTATATAGTCCATCAAGCAATTTGAAGCCACTCATTATATAAGTATGGCTTGTGCCACTGCTTTGATAATCACTTCCCTGCCAACTATTATTATTTGAAATGTTATTCTTTGAAACTGCTTGAGGTAGTCCTAATCAATGATGTTCAGAAAGGGAAGTGATGGATATTAGGTATAACCTGAAATACATGAAAGTAAGTCAATAATGAATTAAGGATTCATCACTTTGAGTTGGACTAAGGGGATATCTCATACCACCTTTATAAGTAATAACTCATTGAAGCCATATGCCTAGGTAAGTGGAGATGTTGAAAAAATGATTTATCCAATCTCTGATGAGTTTGGTTATTACAATTAAGTGACATTCTCTTGTCTTGTCAATATATTAGATGATGAAGGGATAATAATTACACGGTAAAATTGTGTACTGAAAGGTTGAGTCGGACAACTATTACTCTTCTTAACATTAGTGTAGTGATGTATTACTAGGTGTCAATATTGACTTAAAAATATGAACTAATCAGTTGGGGAATTAATGATGAATGCAAAGGATTTTGATTCATCTAGTCTAAGTTAAACTTAGATTGTTGTTTACATGTATTACCATAGAACTTAATGTGTCACACTCATTAAAAATGTTAATTGGGAATGTAAAAAGGGGTTGATTAAGTAAGACTTAATCGAAAGAATTTAAGAGCTTCATAGACTTAATTGAATGGTTCAATTAATCTTGAGCCAAGTTTGTAATTAGCATAAAAGTTATGCAAATCCTACTTGGATTAGGAGTAACTCAATTGCCTATGAATACGAGGTTTATGTTGCACATTTAAAAGGTATAAATTTGTGCTACAATCGATCCACGAACAACCAAACCTTGAAAGGCTTGTGAGGAAATTGGCAAGAGAGGTGTAACCTTGTGAGTCAACTTCTCATTACTGTGTGAGTCACGAATTCATCTTCCTTCAACAATTCAATCATAATTTTTTCTACCTTTGAATAATGACTTTTGGTATTCCTTCCTCTAATTGAGGTTTAGGCAATAGTTGTCCAAAACCCCTTATATTGACAAAGAAAGAAAAAAAGCATGCAAATCACACTTAGCTTAAAGAACTCTTGTGCTTGCTGTCGATTGGTGGTCCCATGGTTGTTGGTCACATTTTGACTTCTCCTTGTAAAGAGAGAACTTTAATTGCCTCTTCGTAAGGTAGCACTGGAATTTGCAAGAGTACAGGATTGAGTTAAGATATTTGCTCAAGTTAGGTGTTAAAATAATAAATCGACATTGAGTTAAGTTGGTCTAGGTAAGATATCAAAGAGTTGGGTTATGCAAAATATACCATTACTTGTTTTCTTCGCAAATTATATGTGTATATGCTTGTATGCATACATGAAAAGCTCTTTTTATGGAGAACATTATTCGAGCTATGGTTTGTTAAACAATACCTCATAGGTTGGCTTGGACTTTTAACTTAATTACATCTTATTTAGAGCTGAGTTGTTAAAATTGTGTGACTCTTACATGAAATTTTATTTTGTAGCTGAGAAAAACAAGGTTGAAAAACCTAACCACTCGCATGAAAAGGCTACGGGTGGAGATGGAAGAAATAAGCGAGGAACAAAAAAAGATCAAGGATGGGCAAAGACAAGTAAGAGAGAAATTTGAAGCCATTGAATTGGAATGCGAGCAACTTCGAAAGGAGACAAAACTCATAACACAACAAAGTCTTAGCACCCAAATCCGCCTTGCTCTTATGTTCCAAATCTTGAAAGCTAGAGAAAACCATGACTTTTCCAAAGCATCACAACTCACTAGTGTTCTCCGGTTGTTCTCTTCACAATTTCATTTAAATTAACTCTCAATTCAACTTTCTCAATATTGAACTTTCTTTAAAATTAACTTTGTATATATTTAATTTTTCTTTTCAAAAAATTTGATTTTGTGCTAATGTCACCTTTTCCCTTCCTTTGATTACAGTGAATTGATAAAAAGAGAGAACCAACAGAAGGAAGCTTTCACTGCCAATTAATGAGGCATGCTACTATAAATAAATGGTGGGGAAGTCTCCATTCTATTGTCATAAACTATATTGGTGCTAATTCTAGGCATGTATGTTATGATGATGTGTTATCGTAATAAACTAGATTGATTGTGAAACCCCAATTTTTCACATTGTGAAAATTTGGTGAAAATATGAACTTTTGTGAATTATGCATTGGTGACGATTACTTATGAAAATCCCTTGTCGTTTGATGTAAATCTCTCCGTATTATTGTGTTATATTAATGAATGAATGATGGTTGGAGGAATGGTTGAAAAAGGAAGCTAAATGAATGGAATTTTGCAAATTAAAACTTCGGTAGTCATCCCTTACTGGCCAAAACTAGACCTTAGGATAAGGGGTTCAAAAAAGGTTCAAAAGAAACTAAGTTTTTAGTTTTGGGTTGAGTATCCAAGGACAATATTTGACTATAGCATTTAAAAATTTGATTATAAGGTACTCAGTAGTTGACAATAGCGCAAAAATAAGCTACAAGAAAAAAACCATAAAAACAAGATTTTTACCTCATTTTTCATCTCCACTAGCCTCTAAACTCTCCCTTTTCCTCTCCAAAACCTTCTCCATGGACTTCATCTAGCAAGGATTCAACCTTCCAAACTCAAATCTAAGCCAAGATTTTTCATTTTTGGGTTTCAATCACAATATTTCAACCTAACTCAAGGGCTTTGTAAATTTTAGCTCATTTAATTCTAATTTAAGCTAAGGATTTGGGGGTTTTTGTTCTTCAACAAGGTTGTGGAGGTAAAGATGTTTAAGGATTCATTATTAGAGCTTTGGGTTTGAAGTTTTGTAAATTATTGGCTTTAAAAGAAGAACAAGGGTTACTCGATTAGTTTCAAATAAATGCGTTTGTTGGAAAGATAGAGATTTATGCTAGAAATTGTTATGATAGTGTTAGCTTTATAAGCTTTAAAATGATTATAGTTTTGAAATGACAAAAATGATCAAAATTGCTTCAATGATCTTTAAAGTTGTTTGAGGGATCTTTGAACTTGTTTGAATGATTTTGAAGTTGTTTGAATGTGTTTTTAAACTTAATTTATTAATGTTTAAAACTTCCATACATTTGCTTTTGAATTGCATAAGTTATTCCATGTGAAAAATGATCAAAATTACTTGAATAATCTTTGAACTTATTTGAATTGTTTTTAAATTTATTTTTAAATAAGTTCTAAAGTGCCTAAGTGTTTCTATGTGAAAAGTTTCAAAATTACTTGAATGAGTTTTGAAATTGCTTGAATGATTTTTGAAATTGCTTGAATAGCTTTTAAACTTGCTTAAATTAGTTTTAAACCTCCTTTGCATTTGATTTTGAAATATCCAAGTATTTGGCATCAAATTGAGTTTTTTTTAAAATAATTTTCTATGTTTTAAGCTAAAAGTATCAATACTTTTGTCAAAAGTATCGATAGCTTTATTTTTGTTTTGACATGACAAAATTAATGGAACTTATTGAGCTTTGAAAGTGAAAGATATTTTTGAGTATGAAGAAAATCCTCAAAAAATTGTGAAAGTTGAACTTAATAGAAAATATATTAAAACACTTTAATTGTTTGAGCATACTTTTGATATGGATGATCATGCGCTTAATTTTCTTAAAAATCTCTTGTTTTCAAAATTAAATGTGCCAACCCAAGGATAAAATTTTCAAAAGAAATGACTTGATTCTTGAATGAAAATGAAGCAAAATATATTTTTTTAATTGCAAGAAGAATCGATTATGGAGAAGAAGAAGTTAGTTTTCAAGCAAAGATCAACAGTGAAGAATTGATTTTGAGAAAAGAAGTTGGTTATTGGAAGATAAAAGCTATAGACCTTATTAAGAATCGACACCTCAGAGAAAAAAGAATTGCTTTTAGAGAGAGAATGCAAAAGTAAAAAAGGTAAAAGTAAAAATTGATTTCATAAGGAGAAGAAGTTGGTTTTTGAAGCACTAAAAGTACAACTCAGAAACATGGTGCCCAAGAAAAGCATGGCACAACTAGACAAAAGTGGAGTGGCAAAATTTGAGCTTGAAATCAAATTTGGCCTCAATCCACAATTAATAACTAACACCTTGAGGCAAAAGAATTGATTCTCCTAGATTGTAAAGGTGTCATCTTTATGCTTAGTTATAGAAAAATTGACACCTCAAAATAAAAGAATCGATTCTTTAGAGACAAAAAGCTACAGACTTTATGAATAATCATCAACTCAACTACAAAGAATTGATTATACAAAAATGACAGAATTGTGCAAGTTGGCTTGAATGTACAAGATATTATTCAAAACTTACTCCAATGGGTAGAAAATTTCAAAGGCTATAAATATAAATCTTGAGGACATTAAAGCAGGAAGAAAACAGGATTTTGAAAGATTTTGACTCATCCTTGAAAAGGAAAAAAGCAAGAAAACTAGAAAAACAACTAAAAGCAGAAGTTCCCACCTTTGAGCAAGCAAAGAGCTTAAAGTTCATATCTTATCCTTCCACTGATCTTTCTTGAGCTTAAATCTTCCTTGATCATTCCTATTTTGTGGAAGCTGTAACACCCCGTACCTTCGTATAAGAGCCAATACGTTATCATCGACAAGACAGATGGTTTATGGATGTGAATTGAAGTGCGAAAGAGCAGTGATAGGCGAGAGGAATATTTTAGAATAAAATATTTCGTATGCGAGGAAATGACAATTACATAATAATATTTTATCGAGGATGAATTAGTAAGATAAAAAAGCAATTCGGAAGTGAACTGGGACAAAAAAGACATTTTGGAACCCGAGGAGTTAAGGGGAGGATTTTGAAATAAAATACTATTAAAATATTAACATTTTATTTGTGATTGAAATTAGTCATGAAGAACGTGTATATGACTAATTTAAGTAGGGAAGAAGAAGAATGGATTTCGAAGAAAAATGACATAAAAGGGGCCCACGTGCCTTTATTAAACAAAAGATGAGTAGGTAAGTATATACTTAAATATTGTGCTGACTTTTTGGTATAGTGCGGATTTGATACTTTATTTGCACATGTGTAAAGGAAGAAAGATAAAAGGAAATTGGAATTTAAAAGATATAATTGAAGGACCAAATTGCAAGAATTAAAAGTTTGGTGGGACAAATGGTAAATAAGGAAAAGTTGAGGACTTGTGGACATTAATTAAACAAAGAAAGGTAGATAATGTGAGATAATAAGATGTACATGTAAAATTCACTATTACATGTAAATGATGGCATGCAAAAAAGGAGGAAGTTAGTGGAGAACATGTGAGCCCCCCAATCATGTAAAGTAAAAAAGAATGATAGGCTTAAACTTGTTTGCATTAAAAGGGATTGGTACATTAAGTGGTCAAATGAGGAAAGGGGGATATAAATACATGTGTCTTGAATGGTTTGAAGAATGACTTAATAAAATATAAAATAAAGTTTGTGCATGAAAGGTGATTAGAGGAATAAGGTGGTGATTGAATAAATAATAAAGGGAGGTTAAATGGGAGAGTATAGTAAGGATAGATATTGGACCAATGCACAAGGGAGGAAATTGGTGCATGAAACACCATTGGGTGGCAAGGTGGCCAAATGAAATAAAAGGAGTAAGGATGCATGAATTTTGATTGGCTTATGAGGGTGGCCAAATGGAAACAAAGGAAAAATATGTGCATGATATGTGATTGGTCTAATGTGTGGCTATATAATGTTAAGTTTTAAGATAGAAAGAGAAATGTGAGGGGGGCTTAGGAGAAGCTTAAGGGGCCAATTATTAGAGAAGAAAAGAGAGGAAAAGAAGTTTGACAGGAATTCACCTGAGAGGAAGAAATAAAGAGAAGAAAAAAGTGAAAAAGAGAGGAAAGGCTCGGGTTGCACTAGATCAAGAGGAACCGTGAGGTTTCCTCCTTCATCTAGTATCCTTGTGCTATTCTAGCAACCAAGGAGTCTCTAACACTCAAGAGAGAAGCCGAAGAGTGTGGGTGGAGGTGCAGAGCATGGTTTTGTGATTCAAGCAAGGAAAGGTAAGGATTTTAATTTTTAGCTTGATTAATCCTTGCAAATGGGTAGATAACTAAGGGAGATGTCTTGTGGCAGCAAAGATCGGCTCGATTGGAGGAAGTTTGGTGACATGCAAGCCATTCAAAATCGTGGGTGCATGGTGGATGTCAAGTGAAAGGAAAACAGTAAGCTTTGCACTTTGTTTTGAGATCTATGGTTAGTTGAATATTGTGAGAAAATGATTGTGTAAAATGTGGGCAGCTTGGCGGGTGGAACCTTGGAAGGACATTGAGGTTGCATGCAAGGTCTAAATCATCACAAAGGTAAGGCATGCAATGTGAAATGGTGGTAAGATGTTTTGAGTATGATTAGGAAACAATTATGCTAGTTGAGAGTTAAAAATGAAATGAATGAAAATGGTGGATATGTGTTGTTGTGAAAAGTTTAAAAATCTTGAGAATGTTGATATATGATGAATGGAACTTGATGTCATGCCTAGTGATGGTATGTTGAAAGTGAATGTAGTTGTCGAAAGAAATCTAACATGCATGAGCTATTTAGAAATGTTTAGTTTGCTTGGTAGATTGTTCGGAAGAATAGGAAAAATAATGTGAATGGTGGATTGAAAAATAAAACATTGAAAGTAAATAGATAATGATGCATGTGAACTTCTAACTAATGGAGTAAATTAGGAATGATTGTTGTTGCCATATATATATATATATATATATATATATATGGTTAATGTTATGAAATAATGAGATGGATTTGGGATGAAACTTGTTTAAGATGGTTGAAATGGGCACTTAATGATATAATCAAGTTGCTGGTACACGTTACGTAAACAATTACACAAGTAAGAGATATGAATTCCATTAGTAAAATTATGTCTAATGTATATGAATGTGTAAGGATTAAGTGGGAAAGAAAGGTGTTCTAGTCTAATGTAGGCTATAAAAAATGATAATGAATGTATGACTAAGAAAGGAAAATGAGAATGATCAATCCTAAGTACATTAAGATTGGTTCTTGCTAGGAAGTGTGCAAACAGAAAAGGATTGCCATAGCGAATAACCAAAGGAGGAAGCTGTAACACCCCGTACCCTCGTTTAAAAGTTAATAAGACTCTATTAATGAGACGAAGGGTTATTTGACATAAATCTAAGCATTAGAGAACACTAACAAGTAAAAAGAATATTTTTGAATAAAATAATATTTTATGAATAAAATAATATTAAAATATTAAAATTTTATTTATCAGAGGAATTAGTTACAATAGAGAGTTATATGACTAATTCAAGTGGAGGAGGGAAAGAAAAGGGAAAATTTGGAAGAAAACAATGAGGTTAGAGGGAACCCGTGTGCGTTGATGAAATAGAGCACCATCGGGTAAGTATATATTTAAATATTATGGTGACACGCGAATGAGGTGCGTACTTCATATTTTATTTATATACATCTCAAGGAAGGAAGTAGAAGAAAAATTGAAATTTTAAAAATGTTGGAAGGACTCAATAAAAAGAATAAGAACTTAGGAAGGCTAAATGGTGATTTTACTATTTAGCTTGGTCAAAGCTACAAAGGAAGCTTGACTTTCTTTCTCTCATTCTTCTTCCACATGGCCAATCATCCATGTGATGGTTGTTGGATAAATTGGTACAGTAAAGAAAGGATTGGAAAAGAATTAAAGGGAAAAAGACAAAGAAACCTACATATGTTGACTAACCAACTCACCTTGAAACTTCTTGAATTTTCTTCATGCTTCCACCCTTTGGCCGGCCAAAAAGGGAGAGACCTTTTCTATTTTTTTTCTTCTTATCATGTTCAACACTAGAACTTTCTCTTTCCTTTGTCATTAAGTATTTTCTTCTTTCTTTCTTTCACCCACCGTCACTTGCACCTTGTGAAGAAATTCTTCCTCCCAAACCGTGGCTTCACCATAATCAGCCAAACCTCAAGCTCTTCTCTCCATTTCTTCCCTGTTTCTTCCCTTTATCCTTCCTCTACATGAAGTTCTTTCCTTTTCCTTCCCCATAGCTGAAATTATGGTGGATTGGTGAGTTGATTCAAGAGTTCTAAGGTAAGAAAGTAGGAATTTGTTAGTTGGTTGAAGGTGTGTTTGTAAATTGATTTTTAAGGTGTGGTTTAATTGTGGCAGCTAAGGAAATTTGAGTGTGAGAACCAGTGTCTTGGAGTGGGGAAAATCCAGCAAAAATCAGGAACTATATACTTGAATTGGTAGCAAATTAGCATCCCAAAATTTTAAGGTGAGTAGGGGGTGTCTATTTCAAAATATCCTATAAATTGGTATGTAGGTATATATGTATTTGTGAATGTGAAATGATTTATTTTCAATGCAAATTGTGGAACGCATAAGCTGGTAGTGATCTTTGAAAATTGTGAATGCCAAATGTTTAAAATGGACTTGACTATGCATTATAATATATATATATACGATTTATATACATAAAAGATTTAAAAATCGGGAAGCAAGCTTTTCAATTTTTGACGTCAAAAATGTGCCTTGTGAATTTTGTGAAGTGCACTAATGAATAATTTCTTATTCACCATGTGGACTAGGCATTAACCCTATGCAAAAAGATTTACATAGCAAGGGGATACAAAAGAGGTTTTTGAATGTGACCATAATCGGTGTTTTGCAAATGGTTTGAAACGATCCTTTGAAAACTTGATTTGATTTTTCAAATGGTTTTACTGAACCGGGAGATTTGAGAGTAGGCCGGTTGTCACTCCGGTTAATTGTGACCCTTGTGCACAAGTGAGCTCTAGCTAGAGAACCTTTGGGTAGCCGATGGGCTGTTAGACATGGCTGGGGTCAAGGTTTGTGATTTTACGTGGCTAGGCCACAAAAGATTATATGCGGTTGCGACCGCTTGATTCTTCTTCGATGTCGGCCAACATCGTTGAGATAACCATGGCATGTGGGGATCCGGTGGAGCGGAGCTCTCGGATGATATGACGTGGAAACAGTCCACGTGTTGCTATTTTGTACCTACTCGAGAGTTAAATCTCTTTTGGTTTTTACGTAAGTAGATTTTACACGATGAAAAATAATAGTTTGCTACTGCTCCTTCTTACTTATGTGACAGCATTGATTTATTGCTATGCATGATGATAGTTGATTACTTTAAATCCGTTTTTGAATGGTTAATTAGCATGAACGTATTTAATTGCATATAAGGCACAACTTCCCATTTTTGAATAAATTGCTGGTATATGTATATTCTTATGTTTTTTAAACCTTCAATTCTCTGCATTTAGCTTGTTTCCAGTCTACACCGTACTCACGGGGTCGATGATCACTGAGTCTGTGAGACTCACCCCACTTTACTTTCTTTAGCAGATAAGTAATCAGTTTTAAGATTTTGTTCATCATCTTGAAGTTGGCTACAATATAGGTAATGGCATCTCTAGACTTCCACTCAAAGTTGCTTCGTGGCTAGAGGTCGTTGTGTATCATATAGTCTAGTTTGTAAGAATCAATAGTCACTGAAAATGTGATGACTAAAGTTTAGGTCATGTAATATTGTTTATATATTATAATGAGTTGTATAAAGTGATCAAATCTAGATGTTTGTAACAAATGGTTATGTTTTAATTAATGTGATTATTGGTTTGAATGATTTATAGTGTAATGTTTGATGTTGTTTAGAGATTTAATTAAGGCTTGTTTGGATTTGGCGAGTCCACTCGCAAGTCTCAAGCGCCGGTAGCGATCGAGGGAAGAGGTCGTTATAAAAGCGTAACTGAATATGTGACGAAGTGATATCCCACCATTGTGAGGTGAGTAAGGGGTGCCTATTTAAAATCTTTGTGCTATATATATTGATTGCTTAGTAAGTATTGAGGCATTCTTAAGTGTAACTGTGGATAGCATGAGCTGTTAGCGTTGTTAGGTGATTTTAAAATGGATTTACAACAATTATACATTGCATTGTAGAAAGCATGAGTTGGTAGAAGCTATAAGAAGTTTGTGGATGCAAATTAGTTTGAAAAGAGTTTTGGATATAACTATAGATGAACCATATATGTAAAGATTTTAGAAATCAGGAAACAAGCCTTTCACGATGTTCACATAAAAATCTATGCTTTGTATTTGTGTGACATGCATATCTAAAAGCATTTGTTAATGGTTTAAAATGAAAAGTTTTGAGCTTTGTTTATTCTGATATTTGTACAAGTGATTACACCATGCAATTTAACTTGAAAAGTAATTTCAAAGGGTTATTGAACCTTGATTTTAAATGATTAAAAGGAAAAGCCTTGGAAAAATCCGATTTGGTTTTAAAAATGGTTTTGATAAACCGAGAGTGTCAAAAGTAGGCTGGCTGTCACTTCGATTAAGTGTGACCCTTGTGCATAAGTGGAGTTCTATCTAGAGAACCTTTGGATCACTGACGGGCTGTTAAACGTGGCTGGGGCCATAGTCTGTGATATACATGGCAAGGCCACGGTTGTTAATGTGGCTAGCGCACAAGTGATATTCGCAATTGCGACCACTTTATTCTCCGATGTCGGTCAACATTGTTGAGATTGCCATGGCTGTCGGGATCCAGTGAAGTAGAGCTCCCAGATGTTATTACGTGGAAATGGGTCCACGAGTAATTATCGTACTTACCTACTTAAGAGCCTTGTGAGTATCGATGCATACTCTTTTGCATGGTGGAGAGTTGAGGTTTCTTTGCAGCTCCCTTGGTTTAAATAAAAGCTTTCAGTGCTTACTTGATGAACATGAGATGTTTTACGTGGCCGTATACTATGACTTCTTTACATGCCACATATTTTGGGAACGTGCTTACTTTATATCGTTATACATATTTGTATGGCAAGCAATGTTTTTGATGTTTGAATTCGGTTTTGAAACATTGTTTCGGCATCGTTTTACTAAGCAAAATATTGTATTATGATATACGTCATTATTTTTACGAGGCACAAATATCCTACTTATGATTTGGTTTCTTAAGATTATGTTTTACTATTTCGATTTTAGTATTCAACTTATCTGCCTTATGCTTGTTTCCCATCTACGCCCTGCTCATGGAGCCGATGATCAATGAGTCTGTGTCACACCCTTATTTCCCTTTTGCAGATAGTGATCAGCCTAGCGTGCATAACATCGGCATTTGCAATCTGCCGCGGATAGGTAAAGGCCTCTCATAGTACTTTATTTTGAGTCGCTCCGCTGGTGGAGGTCGAGTTGTCATGGTGTAACTTGTTATGAAATTAGACAATAGTGTCAATACAAATGTATATTTGGAGATTATAGGTTTTGATGTGCTAATCTTTTTTGAATATATGGAATAAAGGTTTAGACAATTTGCAAAGATTATTGTTCAATTCTTACTATAAGAGTTTTATGGTTTAAAGTAATTTCATAGATTAATGGTATGATCATGAAATAATAGTTATCGTTTTAAGTAAGACTTGTTCTGGACTTGGCGGGTTCTCCCGTGAGACTCGGACCTAGTAGCAATTGAGGAGCGGTCATTACAGAAGCTCTCACCTTTTTGAATCTAAACTTCATTATCTAACTTTCTAGAAGTTTTTAGTTTGTGGTTCACTTAAATCTACTGTTGTATTAGTTATATCTCCAAGCAAAAAGGTAAAGGGGTTTTGCCTAATCCTTTAAATGGCTTATTCTTGTGTAAAGGTTGTGCTTTAACTTGAAAAGGTAGTGTCTTGGTAGAGGTTACGCTCGATCCTACAAAGGGCAAGTTGTAGATGTTATGTTTGACCATGTGGAAAAGGTAAGTTGATAGTGGATTCAAACTCTTTGTACTATCAAGGGAGAGAACATAGGCATTGGAAGGGCGAACCTTTATAAAAATCTTGCTAAGTCCTTTTTTACTTTGCTCCCCCTTACTTATCAAGTTTATACTTTGTTTTATTGTTTTATTCTTTCACAGTTGAACTAAGTTTTGTAAAAAAGGAAATTTTTACTTAACAACCAGTTCACCCCCACACTTGTTAGTTTTATTTTAAGCTTATCTTTTCTAACAATTGGTATTAGAGCATGTTCATAAGTTTTTTGCAAAATTAAGCACTTTTGAGAGATCTTGAACAAAAAGCTTATAGTAACAACCATGGCATCATTGAGCTTCGTTGGTTAAGGACAATCTATGATGTAGCCTCTTTTGTTTAAATGGGGGAACTACTTGTTCTGGAGAATGAGGTTTGAAAATTTTATGCAATCTAGTGATTTAGATCTTTAGGATATCATTGTTGATGGACCTCATATTGCTACCAAAATTGTTTAGTGTAAAACATGTTAAAACTAGAGCTAAATGGTATGATAAAGACAAAAAGTTGATATGGCTAAATCAAAAAGCTGTAACAACTATTTTATGGGCTCTTAATGAAGATGAATTTAACAGGATAGCTATGTGCTCTACAATAAAAGAAATTTGGGATACTTTAAAAAATTGTTTTAAATGCACTAGTCAAGTTTAAGGAATCAAAGACCAGTATACTGATACTTGACTATGAGTTATTCTAGATCAAGGATGTAGAGACCATCAAGGAGATGTATGAGATATTCACTAAAATCATTAAAGGTATAAAAAGTTTAGGAAGAGAATTTACAAAGGCATACCTTGTGAAGAAAATCCTTTATTGTATACCTAGGTCATGGAGACCTAATGTAGTGTATAAAGGATGTGCTTGATCCTTGAAAGGCATAGAGGTTATACCTTAGCCTTCAAAAGGTTATGTGCAAAGGTTGTACTTGAACCTTGAAAAATAGCTAGTTTCTTCACCAAACTTTCTCCAATGGCTCCAAAGCTTCTCTAACTATAAAAGGGACTTCTCCAAAACATTTACAAGGTTAGAAGAGTGGAGAAAAACATCATTTGATCAATAATCAAATTTTATGAAAAGAATGAGGAAAAAGAAAGAGAAACCACGCTAAAGCAAGCAAAACACATTCTTCCACTTAGCTTTTATGGTATCTTTGATCTTCAAATTCTTTATGCTACCACTCCTATTCTTTGTATACATCTTTATATTCATCATACTCTATCTTGCTTGTACTTACTTAGCAAAACCCACCTTTTAAAAGTATATTTGGTTCAATCTCGTAAAAGAGAAAAAGGTTATAATTTAGCCTCCATAAGCTAGTATTTAAAGGTTGTGCTTGATCCTTGAAAGGGATAGAGGTTATACCTTAGAATTCAAAAGGTAGTATATAAAGGTTGTGCTTGATCCTTGAAAGGCATAGAGGTTATACTGTAGCCTTCAAAAGGTAGTGAGTAAAATTTGTGCCTGAACTTTGAAAAGTAGCTAGTTTTTTCACCAAATCTTTTCCAATTGCTCTAAAGCTTCTATAACTATATTAAGGACTTCTCCAAAACATTTACAAGGTTATATGAGTGGAGAAAACATCATTTGATCAAGAATCAAATTTTATGGAAAGAAAAGGAAAAATAAAGAGAAACCAAGCCAGAGCAAGCAAAACACACGCTTCTACTTAGATTTTATGTTATCTTTAAGCTTTAAATTCTTTATGCTACCACTCCATTCTTTGTGTACATCTTTGTATTCATCATACTCTATCTTTCTTGTACTTGCTCAGTAAAACCCACCTTCTAAAAGTATATTTGGTTCAATCTTGTAAGAGAGAAAAAGGTTATACCTTAACGTCTATAGGATAGTATTTAGAGGTTATGCTTGATCCTTGAAAGGCATAGAGGTTATACCTTAGCCTTCAAAAGGTTGTGCTTGAACCTTGAAAACGTAGTGGTTATTCTTGAACCTTTAAAAGGCATTGTATTGAATTCATTCAATAGTGTATTAAACTCATTAGCTTGCTAAAGGGGAGGACCTAGGTACCAATGAAGGGTCGAACTTGTATAAATTCGTTTTACATTTTTTCTTTTCTCTTCACTATTTATACTTGTGCATTTTACTTTACTGTGAAGAGTTTTAAAAATTTGTTCTTAATTTGGTTATTCTTTAATATACTCTTCACTATTTATACTTATGCATTGTACTTTGTTGTTTGATTTTATCACACATGTGCATGTATCATAAACAAATAATATAGTGAAAAGAAAAGTGTTGATTTACTAAGTACTAAAATTAAAACTCTTTAATCTTATTCGAATAATCGAATTTAAACTACTAAAAATTAAATAAACTAGAATCAGAACAAAAACTAAAAGCAAGAATCATAATTAAACAATTATATTATCTATTCAATACATATACTGGCGTGAGTAGAAAATTAGATAACAACCTCTAATGAATTTCTCAACTTCAAACCCAATTCATAAAATAAACAACCTTAAGTATCCTTACTTTCACAACCTCCTTAGAAAGCAAAACCCCTAAAATCCTTAGCTCGAAATGATTTAATGGGCTGAAATTTGTAAAAGCCGAAAGTTACATTATATTCATGAGATTTAAACTTAAAAATGCCAAAACTTACCTTAGAATTG